ACTTTTTTCTACTTCTTTGGAGCGCCTGGAGTGTGTTGTGTTTTAGTTTTGACCCTTTTTCCAAGAGCGCCCTCTACCTGCTCCCACTGATTGGAACACCTGCAGCAAACAGACACATTTTTGTTCTTTCTGCATGATTTATCTACGCTGAGCTCTGCTACAACATTTTCTGTGGAGACGGCAGCGGCGACGCCCAATCCAAAGATCTAACCTCACCTGGTGAACACGGAGAGAGCAAATATTTGGTCTCCTCCACTGACCACTGCACAATCTTCCTGTCACTCCACCGTCTTCCACACAACACACGTTTTCTTTGTTTGTTTATTTTACCGCGTGTGACCTGGATGAACTTGCTGACGTCGACTTTGTCATCACAGTTCGCTTAGAAAAAACAAGTTCAGTTTTTCAGCGTGAACACCTCAGTTGGTCCGAGATTAGGTGCGGGAACCAGCACGGTTCTGTCGGCCTGAAAACACCATGAGGGACACAGATATAGGCGAGTTTCAGCGACGTCATTGTTATTAAAAGCCCGCGTTGCATGCTGGGAAATATTTTGGTCGGAGGCAAGAAACACGAGAAACACAGTGCGTAACCTCGCGTATTTATCCCCGATAATGGTAAATTCCTGCTGCATTATCGGATGCACAAATAGAAGCACGGAAGAAGGAAAATGTCTTTTTCGTATTCTGAGTGAAAAGAACCGCTAACGGTGAATTAAACGGCTTTCAAACATTCGCAGAGCAAATGTAGAAGATCCTAACAAACCGTGGACTCCAACAAGTTCAACAACACATCAAGACTCTTGGAGGTTTTCATCTTTTCTGCTGTGAATGGCCCAGGAGTTTCCACCAAGTCATTGTGGATATCGCCCAAGTGAATATTTGTCCAGGTAGTTGGCGATTCTGACCAGAAATTTGGTTTGGTCCACCTTTTGTCGGGGTTGAAAAGGGTGATTTGGCTCCGTCGATGTTTATGACCAATTTCTGGTCAAATGGTCTTGGGTCCTCTGCCGTTAGAGTGGATAAATAACCGGGATCAATACCCTTTGCGTGCTTTCTCGCTCCGTCCGTCATGTTGAATTAGTGTTTCTTGCTGTGACAAAGTGGGACCTTTGTCTGATTTTAAATTCACGTTAGTTTATGTTTAACATGATTTATTTTGAAAGGGGACTTGCTTTGGGGAGTTACCTGGGGGTAACTTCCTGTGGGCGAAGTATAAAGCAAAGCAGGTGTCACTCATTAGGGGGACTTCTGTGCAGGTATTCAGTGTTTTGCTTTGAGTTACTTATTATTTTGTCTATTTGTATTTTTGTTGGTTAAACCCAGAAGTCTGTTTTTTTAAAATAATTTTTGTCTGCGTAAGACACCTTTTTTTGTGTCATCTGCCTCCTACTTCGACCACTTTGGCCAGCTTCCCCACACTTGCCCCCGACCAAAATAATTCCCGGCATGCAACGCGCGCTTTTGTCAACAATGAAACTCTCTTATAAGGACACATGGGAATAGAAAAGAAAGTTCTACCATTTAATGCTTAAAATCACAGAGTATTGTCTAAAGTAAAAGTGTTTTCTGTGAGTATCGAGTCAATTCCTCAGTGTCTAAATACAGAAATGTGACTCCCCTGCACACACATACTCACCGTTCTGTGTTTTTGTGTTTTCAGTCAGAAGTATAAGGCGGGTGAGTCAGACGCCGCGAAGCAGAGCACTCCTCAGCAGACCTCCGCCGATCCTACAGGGTCCGGACCAGGACTCAGACCGGCCGGGATCTTAGTCGTGTCTGTGCTCGTGTCCGCTGCAGTCCACCTCCTCACCTGTGAGTCCCACACACTCCCCTGACACTCGCAAAATATAGATGCTCTTGACAGTTATAGGTGCATTTTGTAATTTTTCTCCCCACAGATGTTATTGCTTTGTCTGGAATGTTCCGCTCTTTGGCATTAAACGTATTTATTTGAGAGTTTTATAGCTTAAAGATGGGTTTTGTTTTGTTTTTGGAGCTTTTTCTCATGGTATGATGTGCCTGAAGAGGGTTAAGATGTCCTCTGTGCATGTTTGAGTCATTTAGTGATCTCTCCTGGGCCCTGTTGAAACCCTCCTTACGGTTAGATGTAAGATTCTGTACGAGGCTCCGCCCACAAGCCAAGATCACCAACGCTCCCACACGACAATTCTCCATAAATATACAAAAACATGAAACAAACCACAGGAACTTGACAAACCTGGTGCAGATTGTGTTGTGATAGCGCTCTGAAGGGGGAGAGACTTAGTGCGGAGAGCAAAGGGAGCATGGAAAACTGATGTGAAACTTATAAAATGTGTTAATATGTTGTTTTGGTCATAATAACATTTTTAAAAGAGTAAAATGCAGTGTTGTAGTACTCAAGACCGATCTTGGTCTTGAGACTGTTTTTTTTGCGGTCTCGGTCTCAGTCTAGTCTCAATCTCAAGGTCTGACACTCGACAAGTGATAAAATGAGATAAATTCATAAAATCATTGATACATTTGTGCCAAAATAACTGTAAAATACAAATAAATGTCAAAAATGATAAAGATGGTCTCAATTTCGTCTCGACGGGACGTGGTTTTGGTCTCGTCTCTTGCCTTTGAAAATTTCGGTCTCGACTCTCAGAGGTCTTGGTCTTATCTCGGTCTCGGCCTTTAAAAGTCTCGGTCTTGTCTCGGTCTCAACCTTTAAAAGTTTTAGTCTCGACCCTCAGAGGTCTTGGCCTGGTCTCGGTCTTTAAAAGTCTTAGTCTTCTCTTGGTCCCGACCCTCAGAGGTCTTGGCCTTGTTTTGGTCTCGGCCTTGTCTCAGTCTCGACCTTTAAAAGCCTCGGTCTCGGCCCTCAGAGGTCTTGGTTTCGGCCTTTAAAAGTCTCGGTCTTGTCTCAGTCTCGACCCTTAGAGTCTTGGTCTTGTCTCGGTCTCGACCTTTAAAAGTCTCAGTCTTGACCCTGAGAGGTCTTGGCCTTGTTTTGGTCTTGGCCTTGTCTCGGTTTCGGCCTTTAAAAGTCTTGGTCTTGTCTTGGCCTCGACCTTTAAAAGTCTCGGTTTTGTCTTGGTCTCGGCCTGTAAAAGTCTCGGTCTCGACCTTTAAAAGTCTCGGTCTTGTCTCGGTCTGTGAAAGTCTCGGTCTCGGCCTTTAAAAGTCTCGGCCTTGTCTTGGCCTTGTCTCGGACTCAGCCTTTTAAAGTCTCGGTCTTTGTCTCGGTCTCGACCTTTAGAAGTCTCGTTCTTGTCTCGACATTTAAAAGTCTCGGCCTCAACCTTGAGAGGTCTTGGCCTTGTCTTGGTCTCGACCTTTAGAAGTCTCGGTCTTGTCTCCGTCTCGGCCTGTAAAAGTCTCGGTCTTTTCTCGACCTCGACCCTCAAAAAGTCTCGGTCTTGTCTCGATCTGTAAAAATCTCGGTCTTGTCTCAGTCTCGACTCTAAGAGGTCTTGGTCTTGTCTCAGTCTCAGAACAGACTGTGGTCTTGGACAGGTCTTGGTCTCGACTACAACACTAGTCTAAATATGTTACAGTTAATACTCCATAAAAGTGTAACAGCTTCTTTAAAAAAACACATTTCTGTAATAAAAAAAGAATCTGATCAGATCTTTCTCCGTTGTGCCCGACCTTATCTCTGCCGCAGAACATTTTTTGCGCTGAAGAGGGAACAAAATAAATGCCTGGATAATTCAAACCAGGATCTGCCACAGACCCGTTTGTGAGTCAGACCTGAACCGGGACCTCAGAGTCTGTGCGCACGCTGCCCTCTGCTGGACACAACCGCTCACTGCACTTTTACAATCAGAACAGGGACGGAGAAAAAAGGCCGCTGACGACTTTAAGTTTCATAAAATATAAATACAGAGTTTATTTACGCTTACGTCACAAAACCGGAAGACATTTGGACTCTGTTGGCGATCGTAACTTCGGCAAAATCTGGGAAAACTGGGAAAACTTCACCTAGACGTCATTTTTTCCTTTTATAAATGTATTTGCTTATTAATTTGTGCACCATAATTAGTCTAAAATAATAAAAAAAAAGATGTTATTGTAGCGTTCTGTTATGTTTTGACTGATGAACAGTTACGGTCAGTGCAGCATTCTTTCTTTTGAGTTTCAATTAAGAACGAAAAACAATAAAATGGGAAAACAGTTTGTTATTTTTCCGGTTTTTAGTGTCAAACAAAAAAAAAAAAATTGACCTCTATTTCCAATATTTGATTTAAAGTTTATTTCAAATGGCACCAATCAAAAAACAGTCTCAGTGCCTATTTTAATTTTGATACTTTGCTCCCTGTTTCTCGTCATGGAGTTCAACATTGACTTTTTACGATGCGAAAGTAAACGCGTCGCATCGTATAAAAGAAGATGACATGTTTGTTAAAAAAAACTGCAGCAATTTTTCTGGTACCCTAAGTCCTTCTAGCAGCAAAACCTCCGGAGCAAATAAACAAGAGAGAAGAAAATATCCAAATTGAAATAGGCACCAAGACTGCTTTTTGATTGGTGTAATTTGAAATAAACTTTAAATCAAATATTGAAAACAGAGGTCAAAATCTGTTTTTGTTTTCATCACTGTTTTCCAATTTTATAGTTTTTTTTTTGTTCTTGCCCGTGAGTGACACTGATGTGATTAGCGACACATCCCCCACGGAAAACCAAATGTATGGAAGCAAGAAAAGAGTGGCAAGCAAGAAAAAAAAGTTATTTGGGCTTTACTGTTTATGTGGCTGATGAAAAAAAAAAAAAAAAATCTAAAATCTAAAATCAAACACTCCAGAGCCAGTATATATATATTTTAGAGTTGGCAAAAATGTGTTGTTTTTAACAGAAAAAGTGTTATTTTAACTATTTGAATGTTAAATAGGGGTTTGATTTGGAGTTATTTGCCAGAATAGATATAGTTGGAGTTAATTCAACTTCCCTCAGTGTTAATTCAACTTCCACTAGTGTTAATTCAATTTCCCTTAGTGTTAATTCAACTTTCCCTTAGTGTTAATTCAACTTCCCTCAGTGTTAATTCAACTTCCCTTAGTGTTAATTAATTTCAACTTCCCTTAGTGTTAATTCAACTTCCCTTAGTTAATTCAACTTCCCTTAGTGTTAATTCAACTTCCCTTAGTGTTAATTCAACTTCCCTTAGTGTTAATTCAACTTCCCTCAGTGTTAATTCAACTTCCCTCAGTGTTAATTCAACTTCCCCTAGTGTTAATTCAATTTCCCTTAGTGTTAATTCAATTTCCCTTAGTGTTAATTCAACTTCCCTCAGTGTTAATTCAACTTCCCTTAGTGTTAATTCAACTTCCCTTAGTGTTAATTCAACTTCCCTCAGTGTTAATTCAACTTCCCTTAGTGTTAATTCAACTTCCCTCAGTGTTAATTCAACTTCCCTTAGTGTTAATTCAACTTCCCTCAGTGTTAATTCAACTTCCTTAGTGTTAATTCAACTTCCCTAGTGTTAATTCAACTTCCCTTAGTGTTAATTCAACTTCCTTAGTGTTAATTCAACTTCCCTCAGTGTTAATTCAACTTCCCTTAGTGTTAATTCAACTTCCCTCAGTGTTAATTCAACTTCAGTTTAATTCTTGTTTAATTCAATTTCCACTAGTGTTAATTCAACTTCCCTTAGTGTTAATTCAACTTCCCTTAGTGTTAATTCAACTTCCCTTAGTGTTAGTGTTAATTCAACTTCCTAGTGTTAATTCAACTTCCCTTAGTGTTAATTCAACTTCCTTTAGTGTTAATTCAACTTCCTCAGTGTTAATTCTCTAATGTTAATTTGGCTCCTCCCACCACCACTTCAAACTTCTGCGATAGAAATGACCAGTTTGAACCAGTTTTGTTCATAATTTCATTTTAAATGAACTAAAATAAAGTGTAAAAATAACTGAACCAGGACTGAACCGTTTTCAGTCCTGGTCTCAGTCCTGGTCTCAGTCCTGGTCTCAGTCCTGGTCTCAGTTCTGGTCTCAGTTCGGGTCTGATCCCAGCCTCAGTCCCAGCCTCAGTCCCAGCCTCAGTCCCAGCCTCAGTCCCGGTCTCAATCCTCGTCTGGTCCCTGTCTCAGTCCTGGTCCTGTTCCTGATATCATTCATGGTATCAGTCCTGGTCTGGTCTGGGACTCAGCCCTGGTCTGGTCCCAGTCTTAAGTCCTGATCTCAGTCCAGGCCTGGTTCCGGTCTGGTCCCGGACCTGGTTCAGTCCATTATCTGTTTTTTTTTCCCCATTTTTCATTTGAACACAAAAATTGAAAAAACTGAAAAAAAACAAATCATTATCCTGTTTTTAAAAAAATGGTTTTCGAGACAAATAATAAAGAAAATAGTTGTTTTTTTCCATTTTCTTATTTTTGGTTTTATTTTGAAAAACAAATGAAAGAATGATACATGGATTTTTCTGCTATAAACACCCATGTAGAACACCCCCAGAGCGAGGTCACTGCATTTTATCATTTAAAAGCGTCCAAAAATCACTTAAAGGTTGTATGGAGGATTTTTTTTTTTGTTGTTGTTTCAAATTGTCGATGAAAGTTCAAAATAGAATTATAGAGAGGCAGCAGTCTTGTAATTATGATGACCAAAACAAAAAAAGAATGAAAATCCATCAACTGTGGACGTGGTGGGGGCAGATAAACATCAGCCAATAGAAAACAAGGCCACCTCTTTAACTATTGGCTGTTGGGTTGTCAATCAAACTCCCTACGTTTCTTGCATCACTGATTTGCCGGCGAGCTGGGATTACGTGGTTTACGTTCGCCTCTCACGCACTGATGCCGTTTACTCAACCAACACAGCGTCTTTTTCGAACTGTAGCTTCCTCGCAGTTTGCACGAAGTTTGTTTTAACGGCAGAGAAGACTTCACGACCAGTTCGCCGCAAAAGAAAGTTTGTTTTTGTTTTTTGTTTTGACGTCGCTGAAAGAAGAAGAGAAGGGGAAGAGGAGCGAAGCGCGACATTTGAAAAAGGACAAACAGTCGCTGCATTTCTCTTTCCTTGGAAAATCTTCTATACAACCTTTAATCTGAGCTGTATGTTTCGTTTATTTCTGTTCCAGGATTTGCCCGCTGCGTCTGGGATGAAGAGGCCGGACTCACGACTGCTGTACACTTCCTGTTTACGCTCTCATCGCCGTAGAAACGCCGCATCCCTAAAAAGGCCTCTGATCGGACGAACATTTTGCGAACGACCGCGCGGACTCTTCACTTGACGATCGGCTCATATTAAACTTCACCAAACGGCTTCTGCTGCAGCTCTGTACAACTCACATTTAATCCCGTTTTTCACTTTAATTCTGTTGTTTTTAAACTGCATTTCTAGACGTACTAACAGTTTTTTACAAAGAGATATTTTCCTTATGGCGAGATAAATATTTTTAAATCGAAATGACAATAAACGATCTGATAATGTTGGTAAATAAATGAGTAAATAAATTAATAGTAGCACAAAAAAATATAATAATAATAAAATAAAATAATAATAATAAATCACAACTGAAAAACAATATTCCAGAATTTTTTTGTTTTACTTTTTGCATCTAGAATATTGTTAATGTTCGCTATTTTTACGGAAATTTATGAAGGCTTATTGAACAATTTCGTGATATAGATAAAAAAATAAAAATAAAAATAATACAAAAAAATACATTGAAAATAATATAAATATTGAAAAAAAAAGTTATATTTTTTATTATTATTTTATTGTTTTAAAAATGCATTCCGGACCATTTTGTGAAAGCCAAATATCTGTTCTTTTTTTTTTTTTTTTTTTTTTTTTTAAATTGCGCTGTGGACAAGTGTTATAAAAAAATAAACAAGAATATATTTTTCTGCTTTATTTTCCTTCTTTAGATTTTTTGGAAATGTTTTATTTTTTTTTTTTTTGTGTCGATAAAGTGACTCTGTGGTAAAGGTGAATGTGTTTTCTGTGACACTGGCTTGTGCTTTGCTCAAAGGCGGATTTGAACCCACACAAACTGCACCCGTTTTAATGTTTCATGCTGTTTTTGTGTTTTTGGACTTGAAAGAAATAAACCTGACATTACACAAACTCGTATGAGGCCAGCAGTTTGACTCTTTGATCATGAAAGAGAATTACAAATAAAGTGAAGCGTGCAGTGACGACTTCTGACCAGCAGGCGGCACTGTGACTCTAGTTTCAAAATTCAAAACTCTCAAGACTCAAGACTTTTTTTTTTTTTTTTTTAAAGTAGAAAGTTTACGAGTTACTTTAAATAATAATCTAACAGTGTTGGGATGATTACTTCTAAAATGTAATCCCCTACAGATTACAGATTACATACACCAAAATGTAGTTTTTAACGTAATCCATTAAATTACTTAAAGTGAGTAATGTAATCTGATTACTTTGGATTACTTGATTTGCTGTAGAGAAGCAAAGACCAGGATCTTCACATAAGATGTTTTGTCTGATAAAAGAACATGAAAAGTCCAGACTTTACTGAACCAAATTAAAAATATTATTGATAGAAGAAGAAGAGACACGTCCCCACAGCAGGATTTAGTCCTGTTAAATCCTGGTTTAGTCCTGGTTTAGACCTGGTTTAGTCCTGGTTTGGGTCTAGTTTAGCTCTAGTTTAGACCTGGTTTTAGTCCTGCTTTAGTCCTTGTTTAGACCTGGTTTGGATCTAGTTTAGTCCTGTTTTAGTCCTGTTTTAGTCCTGGTTTAGACCTGGTTTTAGACCTGGTTTTAGACCTGGTTTTAGACCTGGTTTAGACCTGGTTTAGATCTAGTTTAGATCTAATTTAGACCTGGTTTTAGTCCTGTTTTAGTCCTGGTTTAGACCTGGTTTTAGACCTGGTTTGGGTCTAGTTTAGTCCTGTTTTAGTCCTGTTTTAGTCCTGGTTTAGTCCTGTTTTAGTCCTGGTTTAGTCCTGGTTTAGACCTGGTTTAGACCTGGTTTAGACCTGGTTTGGATCTAGTTTAGATCTAGTTTAGACCTGGTTTTAGTCCTGCTTTAGTCCTTGTTTAGACCTGGTTTGGATCTAGTTTAGTCCTGTTTTAGTCCTGGTTTAGATGTGGTTTGAGACCTGGTTTAGACCTTGTAATCCATTTATTTCAACAAAGTAACTGTAATCCAATTACCACTCACTGAAACAGTACTGTAACTGAATACAGTAACTGTATTCGGTTACAGTACAGTTACAGTAATCTAATAATAAAATAAGAGTATTACTGCGACACTTTTACATTTCACAACACACTGGAAGAAGTTTGAAAACAAAATTACATTTAAAATACACATTTACATCTTGAAAACAAAGTCCAAGTTTCATAAAACACATTTACAAATGAACAAACAAATTTACAAAACACTAATACACTAGTGTTCGATGTGTTTCGGGGGTTTGTATTTGTGTTTTTGCCACGTGCAAATTTATCTCGGCGCTTGTACAAATGTTTCGTGCTTTGTAAATCTGTTTTCAAGATGTAAACGTGTATTTTAAATGTAATTTTGTTTTCAGAGTTGTTCATGTGTGTTGTGGAATTTAAAAGTGTTTTGCACTTGCTGGACACCGTACAAAAGCATAAAAATAGCAAACAGAAGGCAAACAAATCAGACAATGACGCAAACAATTCAGTTAATTATAATAAGTAATATAAAAAAAGAATAAAAAGAAATAGAATAAAAAGAAATCAAATCAAGCTAAAACCAGTTAAAGGAAGGCCAACTGCGAAAAATGAGTCTTAATAAGTGATTTAAAGATGATCCTGATGGTGCGAGTCGTTTCTCCTCAGGCAGGTCGTTCCAAAGCCGAGGAGCCTGGACTCAAAATCCTGGACTCCATCACCTTCATCTAGAGACTGGACTTTGGAACAGACACATGGACCTGCCTGAGGATCTGCGGCTGCGGGAGGCTCGTACGGGCTTTAAAGTTCTGAACTGTAACTTGGTGTAGAGCGCGGAGCAGTGATCGAATCTGACACAAGCCCGATAAACAGTGATAACTCTTGGTTCTCACTTACATATCCTTAACAAACTGGTTTGAATATTTGCTTCA